TTTTACGTCTTAACTGTACTTTAGGTCTACTTGAGAAGTTTTCTTTTTCTTTTATTCTTTAAGCAAGTGATGATATCTACAAATCATAAACATACAATAAGCTAGGTTTTTGTTTAGAAAACAAAACACTAACCCATTTACACGGTTATGATCTGTGAAATCTGATCCTTCTGTTTCCAGAATATTCTTAGCATGGTTTTTGACAAAATAACGATGATATCCTATGTCTGTCTGTCCACCATATCTGTAATGTTTCACTGATTAAAATTGTTAAATAATCCTTTGTTGCATGCTTAAATCAGTTTGACACATAATTATTTACACTGCAATTACTTCCGTTGAAAACGGATGTTCACTTTTTGACTATTCAACAAAAAGATATTTTATACGCGAAAGGCACACCAGGTTGCAATCAACTAAATTTTATGAGTTTCATAGTTACTTCAGAGAAGAAATTGATGTCCTATCGGGGTTTAACGTTGAAAATAAGAATGAATCGAGAGAAAAATGGCGGCCATTTTATTTCATTTTATTTAGAAAATAGACCACTTGACCAGATTTTATACTGTTAAAAATACTGTTACCTATGTAACAGTACAAAATTCTTAGTCACGTGGTACACTTGCATTAACAGTAAAAATAACTCCCAGAGGCCTATGGGAAATTAGCATTACGAAAAAAATGAGGGGTAATAATGTTCACTATGTTAAACTATGTTTAAATAAGATGAACATTTACCTCAATTAGTATTTTCAACTTTAGAAGTCAATTATTTATTCTGAGAACAATCCTCAACTTATCTTCTTTAAGACTTTCGATTTCATTTCTTTGCTTTTTCGGCCAAATATTTTAATACAACTATATAAAACTTTCATAATATCACTATCTATAGAGCATTTGAAATAGTTATTTAGTTATTATATATTATTCAGTCAGGTGATGTGAACGTGTTAGTATGTATATCAAAGTAATAACAGTGCTGCTCAGTATAAAGATCTGTCCGTAAGACAGGTCAGTGCTTGATAGGAAGACAAAAAGTAAAAGGTGTAAAAAGGAACCTCAGACATATGAGACCTGTGATCATCATGTTATATAATCACAGAAGAAAAATTAACCCATATCCTTATGTAGTTTAAGAGATGTCAAAATGCATGCCGACGCCGGAGTGAGTACACTAACTCTCTCTTTTCCTTCAAATGATTAAATCATTTCAAGAAAAATCATACTACTTCATATTAAAAAAACTTTAATTTAATCTTAGATAAGCTTACAAATAAGCATTTTGTTTTTGTAAAGCAGTTTTAATTTATTATATACTTATAAATGAAACAATGAGAAATGTTGATGAAATAAGTGTGTATTTTCATTTTCCGTATTTTCACTTTAAAACATATTTTTCAATACAGTGAAACATATTTTCCGTATTTTTACTGGTATCTTGCCGGACTACTTTTTTCTTAATTCACTTAAGGTACAAAATTAAAAGGGATTTCTTTCAAATCATAAAATTAATGTAAAAAGAAAAAAAACATAATATTTATAATAAACAGAAAATTAAAGTTATTTTCTCTTTATACATGTACAGGACTTATTTTCATCTTGCGGTATGAAAATGTTCATATTTCACTTGTGGCGCTGCCACTCATGAACTATTTATTACATACCACTCGATGATAATAAGTCCTGTGTTTATAGAAAACAATTGAATATCCTCTATGGATTAATTAGTTCATTATATTATTTATTATATGGTTTTTTATATAGAATTGTCAAAATCAGGTAAATCTCGTCGAACATATTCCGGGCCTCTTTAAAACATGATATTATATAAGAATAAAGCTGCCTTTGTTTTCTGTGTATTCCGGGAACGATACGTTTAACGGAAGGTTGGCAAGATGAAGTTTGTACTGTGTCTATTTGTTGTGCTAGTGTCAATTGCTGTTGGTTATGGAGCATTATCATTTGGCCTCTTGGAGTCGGAATCAGGTAAGGGCGCGTTTTTTGCAAATTATGTTGTTAAAAATATACTATGCCCATCATTGAGTAAAATTTTTTAATCACAGGAATTTATTAAATCTATATAATTCTTACTGAATATGACTAATTTGAATGAAATAATAAGTAAGCTATGTATACAGAGCTGCGTTTCCTATTATGGGACAAGTTTTAAAAAGTTGATCTTTTCTTTAAAAAAAACCCCATTTTTTATGACATTATATATTCACATTGTGTCCCTCTATAGTATGTAGAATTTTAAACATAACATACCTACTTTATGTGAATTCAAAACCTGTTTTATTTTATATTCACAAAAATACTGTGTAGCAGTTATCAATATTATCAAATTTGAACATAGTATATCTTTCAGAAAAGATTCAGTATGCTATCATTTGATGTAAAACCAAACAAATAATTCAAAAACTAATTTACCTTTATATTCATGTATATACTATAACAGTTATCACTATGGATGATTTTAAATCGCCACTTATATTATTGTATCATTGTATTGTAAGTTTTTTTACTGCCAACTTGATTTGTTTGTGCAGATTTTTTTTTGAAGAGTTGATTGCATGACCTGAAAATGTAAAACTCATTCGCATGCTCTGACACATTGTTTCCATTATTTTCTATGAAATATCAGCCAGTTTATTTCAACACTAGGGCTTTTCTATACATAAACGTGCGAGTTCATACGAAACAAAAAAGAAAATAAGCTTAAAATAAGCTAAAAAAAAACCTTTGGAGTAAACATGCCGTCAATAACAGAATATGATCATATGTGTCATCCGGTAAATCAGATATTATAGACAGATATATCTATTTCAATCAAATAAGGCTTATAAGCCCATGAGGACATTATAACAGCATATTTACAAGATAACGAGCAGTGCATATATAGAGGATATTGAATGAGTGTAGGTTTAATACTAAATTTATTGAACGAGTTGAATAAAATCATATTGTATCATAGTTTGGGGACCTTTCTGTTGAAAAAGTGTCAGAGTTAAATCGTATACATATACATGCACAGTGCGGTAACTGGAGTGCAGGTATCAGTTACCCGCACTCCAGATCATGCCCGTTGATTGGCTCATTTTTGCTGGGGTTTACATATTGTGACGGCAGAGAAAGGGAAAGCGGCAGAAATATCATATTCAGATGCTCGATCATTGGTTACTTTTTCCCGGGGTTTACAATTGTGACAACAGGGAACGTGTTTTTATGTTTGACTATGATACAAAAGAGAAAGAACACCAAAACACTCGGCAATCTGATTTATACTCGGGGTTACGCCCCCTCGTACAAATCAGATAGCCTCGTGTTTCGGTGCTCTTTCTATTACTTATGCGAGCCGCTGGCGAGCATAATATTGTTTTATTCAACGAGGTCAATAAATTTAGTATTGAATCTCAACGTATAATATTCCACTTATCACATATATAAAATAAGAACGGTAAACTGTTATCAAAAGTCATTTTTCTTTGACGCGCTTAAAGTGTGACGCTAACATTAGCGCGCTTTAACGCTATGTTTATAGCGCAAATGACGTGACGTCAAAGTGTTATTACACTAGTGTAATATCGTTTTTATAACATGGCTTTATTACACTCCTGCGCCGCGGTTTATGTGATAAGTTATTGTACAAATCACAATATAACTATAATTTTAGAGAAGAAGGTCATTATAACAACTTATTCGTAAAAACTTATTCGTAAGAACGTACAAGTAAAAATATTGTTTGATGTTTATGTTTAACGCATGTAATTCATATAATGTAATGATTGTATGATTTACATGTCCTGTTCTGACATTGTTAAACTACCTGGATGAAAATTATATAATTTACAAGTGACTACATGCCTAGAAAAGTAATATCTATTAACTGGTTTATTTCGACACCTTTACTTGACATATAATATCGAATTTGAATATCAAAATGATTGTAGATATATATTTTCAAGTTTTTTATTTAGTTTTTTATTTTATTTTATTTATTTATTTTTATTTATTTACAAGGCTAACTATTTTGAGCATATAAGGTCTTATCCAATATAAGCGTCTATCAAAAAACTTTTTCCTTATATCAATAAATAACACATACATGTAATCTATTTAAAGCAATATTCGTCTTCGATTTTTCCACACCTTACACAAATGAGCCGCGTCACGACAAAACCAACATAGTGGGTTTGCGACCAGCATGGATCCAGACCATCCTCCGCATCCGCGCAGTCAGATCAGGATCCATGCTGTTCGCTATTAGTTTCTTTACTTGTTATAGGGTCTGTAAGCGAACAGCATGGATCGCAAACGCACTATGTTGGTTTTGTTGTGACGCGGCTCAAATTATTTTACTTAAAGGGATCTTACGTGGCTTAGGTCATCCGCCATTGTCTGTCGGAAATCTATGAGAAGAGACACGTAACGGGAAAACGATTGACAAACTTTTTTTAAAACCAAAGTAGCTTTCTAAATTTAGGGTTTAAATTTTAAAAAAGTTTGATATCGTTTTCTTTAAAAAGAAAGCCCTCCCTTGATTGTTTTAAGTCTTGCTTTTCCCAAAGTTATGAATAAAAAAAAATTCTTTTTTAAACCGGGCTTCCCCTTTTTGGCTTTCAGCATTTTCCAAAGTGTTTGCTACCCTGTTACCACAATTAATTTTAATCAAAAAAAATCCCAAAAACCTTTGATCACAGATTTTTTTTTTGAATTTTTATTTGTACATTTCTGCCATAAATGATTTGGTTTTAAAACGGAAATAATAAAATTATGGTTTGCAACATTTGAGCCGTGTCATGGCAAAACCAACATAATGGGTTTGCGATCAGCATGGATCCATGCTGTTCGCTATCAGTTTCTCTACTTGTTATAGGGTTTGTAAGCGAATAGCATGGATCCTGATCAGACTGCGCGGATGCGCAGACTGGTCTGGATCCATGCTGGTCGCAAACGCACTATGTTGGTTTTGTCGTGACGCGGCTCATTTTTTTTTCCAGTTTATGGAGAGACTGTAGAGTTTTGTAAATACAAAGACATCAGGATGCTTCCAGAATCTACAATAAAAGATTACGATAGCTGCGAAAAGTGTGTCTGTACAGAGAGAGGTCTTTCCTGCGCCACGTACGCATATTTTTATATTCTATTTCCTCTTTTATCCAATCTAGTTTTGTCTCCAATTAATTTTCTAAGGTATTTTACATTAATATACAATCATCTTATCTTTTTTCATAATAAAAATTTTGTTTATCAGATTAAAGGTAAGATTTCTTTTTGCATGTTTCAAGTTGCCTTTGATTCATTTCATATGCGCTGAACAGGCGTTCATCGGATACATTTTGAAGCCCCATATCATTATGCTGAATCATATAAATCATATTATCATCATATTTAATTCCTGTTCTTGATATAATTGATTCTTTTATGTTCAATAGTTTACCAACGGCATTCTCAGTCAGTGCTCCTGCAAATTCTAAATGTGTTAGTGTGAGAATAGGATGTGTAAACAAATGGAGGAGGAAGTCCAACAAAAACAAGAAGTGTCCAAAAAGCTGGATACCGCGGGAAATTGCCATGGTTGGAAAATAGACGACAGTTTATTTTCTTTTAAATGAAAACATTCAAAGATTAACCTAAATGTCTACCTGTTGCAAAACAATAGTCTTTGATTTTTTGTTCTACTTTAAGTACGTTAAGTCAATTTGTCTGTATAGAATTATTTTCAAATGGAGAGAATTATAAATAAAATGATATCATATATAGTATTTGTTCTTGATGTTATAAAAAGAGATTTGTGAAGTTGGCGGCCTAACGGCCCGGTGTCCTAGCGGTGTGGTCTCGACGACCTAGCTGCCCAGTGACCTAGCGACTAAGCGGCCTAGCGGTGTGAAGTTGGCAGCCTGGTGGCCCAGCGGCCTAGCGGCGTGAAGTTAGCGGCATTTCGGCCCAACAGCCTTTCGGCGTTAAGTTAGAGGCCTAGCAGCCCAGCGGCCTGACGCCATAAACTTTAAGCATTGTTGAACGATTTGAATTAAGTTTTACATGCATATTTTATCATTTTAAAGTTACAAAAAAAATAACAAAATAACATTCAGAAAGTTTTTGTTTTCCAGCGGTGAGGCAGCCTAAAATTTTCAGTTGAAGAAATGTTATAAAAAAACAATAAAAACGGCACCTTATGAAGTTCTTAAGACGGCACCTTATGACGTTCTTATTTTTAATATTTAAAATATATAAAATATATATAAAAAGAAAAAAACACTTTGAGAAAAAAATTTGATTTTATATTTTTTTGTGAAGTTGGCGACCAAATAGGCTAAAATTTTAGTTGTAGAAACGTTATAGAAAATTCAGAACGGCATTTTATTTAGTTCGAAAGACATTGTTATTTTAAGGATATAGACATAGAAAAAATCACTTTGAGAAAACTTTTTTTATTTTAATATCAATTTTGTGAAGTTTGCGGCTTTGACGGCCTGAAATTTTAATTTTGAAGAGTTTTTCAAAGAAATTAAAACGACCATTAATTAAGTTTTAAAGAGATATCTCATCATTTAAAAGTAACATAAAACGAACAAATATCACATTCAAAAGGATTTTGTTAACCAGCGGCCTGTCAGCCCAACATTTTATTGTTGTAGAAATGTTCTAAAAAGAATAAAAACTGCAATTTACGAACCTCTTAAGACTATTCTTGATATTAAAAAGGTAAATAAAAAGAAAAAATCACTTTCAAAAATCTTTTTGAATTTATCATTTTTGTGAAGTTGGCGGCCTAGCGACCTAATTTTTTACAGTTGTAGAAGTGTTCTAAAAAAATAAAATCGGCATTTTATGAAGTTTTTAAGACTATTTTTGATATGCATAAGGTATAAAAAAAGAAGAAAAATCACTTGGACCGAACCTCTTGATTTTAACATTTTGTGAAGTTGGCAGCCTGCCCAGCGGCCTAAAATTTTACATTTGTAGAAATGCTATAAAACAATTAAAACGAGATTAAATGAAGTTCATCAGACAATTCTTGCTTTTTAAAGATATTTAAAAAAAGTCACTTTGAGAAAACTATTTTTATTTTATCATTTTCGTTAAGTTGGCGGCCCAGCGGTCTAAAATTGTTTAAATTTTATTTTTAAAAAAAAACAATTAAAACGGCATTTAATGAAATTTGGGCCAGAAGTTGGTAACTGTACGGGGAACCATGAGGAAATAAATGTACAGTTACCTGAGACAATCAGAAAAAGAGGTATATAGCCCTTAAAGGGCTGTTGGTGCTAAGTAAAGGGCCTGTCTTTCAAGCTTTTACTCACCAAAGCACACCATCCGCGTCGTCTCTCTGCCTGCAACGTAGGGCTACTCCCTTTGGTATAAGTCAGGACACCGGTAGGTAGCTGGTCCACCGTTCAAGTTCTGGTATTTTTTGCCATCATGCCCGGTGCCTTCTCAGCGACGAACACACTCCGAGGGGAAGTGGGTAGCTTTTTAGTTTAGTTTCAAGTTTCCAATATTACCGTTTAGTAATTAGTCAAGATGTCCAATAAGCAATGTCTCTTATCAAAATGTTTCCAAGAGTCTTTAACACACTTTTACATTTAATTTCTTATTCTTCTTAATAATTTTATTTCTCTATTCATTCTCCTTAGAAATTCTAATTCTTATTCGTATCCTTAACCTCAATCATTCTGTCTTCATTCTTACAAATTCTGTCTTAACTTATATTTGTCGCTACTTATATAATATTCCCAAGCCACTATTATTTTTAATAATTATTTGATTAACCAATGGAAATTGAAAAACATTAACCAATGAAAAATTAAAAAAAAAAAAAAAAATAATGAAAAAAGTAAAACAGTATCGCATATTTCTTAATCTTCTTAAAAATACATTATGTAAATATATAATACATATCCTATACGTTACATATCCTATATCCTATAAGTTTCTTATAGCTACAAAGTAGTATACATTAATATCACCCAGACTAAAAAGTGTTGATAAGAATCATTGAAGATTTCTAAAAGAGAAATAATTAAATTAACTGTCAAAAGAACTGACATAATAAATAAAATTATAATTATGTTGTTTTTTTCAAGTTGTGATATTTTATTACTTAGATAAACTTTACTAAAAATATGCCTTATGGCTTTTAACATCTAAACAGTTAGATAGTTAACACTATGATTATGATTTCAACACATTACATAAATCTGAAAATAAAGCGTTTATCATAAAAAAAAGAAACAGAACAATAGATCACATACATACTCACAATTATACATAAGAATATTATTAGTTTTATTTTATTTTTGACATTTTATAATTTTGCTATATTGATTATTTTATTTTTTATAAAAAGACTTGGGTCAAATATGCCGTTAGTGGGATATGACTTTATTTAATGCTTTTGAGTGGATTTCTGATTTATCCGTGAAAATTCTATTTGATAATTTCAAGTGAAAATTATTAAAATATAAGTTCACACTTTTCAATGACGAGACAACTTTTTAAAGATTTTCCCAATGTGGTACCTCAATTTTATTTTTGCTGACAATCCTGACAGCTGTTTGAAGAAAAGCAAAGCTAAAATTGATTTCAAAAAGTATTAAAGAAAAAAATATTTTTACAGTCTTGAAAATACACTTCCTTCCACATGCAAGACTGCTCTTGGTGACATTTGTGCATATTTAAGTATCATACGAGCAATAACTGCCTAATGCAATATGAAAACTTGAAAATCAATGAACTTCATATGAAAAACCTGTGACAATAGTCAGTGGCCAGGAATATTCCTAGAAAAACATCTGTTAGCACTTATAAATTCAATAACAAGTATAACGTAAATAACATTAAAAATTTCTGAAGAAAAAAAACACATCTGGAATTACTCATGCATAACAAGACAAAAGTCTATAACTATACATGCCTCTTGATTTTATTTCTTTGTTTTGTTTGACTTTAAGTCACAACGACACTATTCAGGTTACATGGCAACTTTCAAGTTTGACTGGTGGAGGAAGACATGCATCATTTCAGGCACAAACGTACACCTGAAAAGAACCATCTACCTTCCATACGCTAGGCCATAATCAAAAGTCCCTGATAGGATTTGAATGTACAACATATTAAACCACTGGATCCCATCTGCAGTTCTGCTGGAGACGTAAAAGGCATACATTATTATTACAAATTAAACACTTCAACGCAATGTCCTGACCATTACTAAAATAAGAACAAGATCAACAAAGAAGGGCGGCATTCAATGAACATATCCCCAGCACAAAACCACCGGCAAGGAGACCAGCAGGACACCAGACAGGACTGAGCACTGTAAAGGTAATTTAACATTGAAAATTATTAAATAAAATAAGTCGTGTTTAATGGAATAAAGCAATTATCTAGACCCCAAAACAGATAATAATCCAGCATTAAGTTCCCATTAGGACACGTTTTTTTTTCAATTACATTCTACTAAACATTGAAACAAAGTCTGTCAATGAGAATCGTATCTTCATGGCTGTCTCATGTTTTAATTGTAAATATACAGACTGGGATAATGTTGAATAAATTTTTGAAAATATGGTTCTAAACTTAAAACAGATGCTAAGCATTCATAGTTAGTTTAAATTCGATATAATTTTAGATAAGGAAAATAATTTTGGATATTTTTGTTTATTTACCTGCCTACCCTACCCAAACTTGCATGGGTTTCGGGAGGGGAAACAAAAATAATTTTACGACTGACCTTATCACAGTATTTATTTTCTTCAAAAGTGTGAGAATTTTAAATGGCAGATATTATAATGGTCTATGTGTCGAATCCCATCATTGACGGTTTGTGTGCATACTTGCAACTATATTTCATTGAAGAAAATGAATGATACAAAGTGTTGACAATTTTAAAATACATGTATAATGGCATGAAAAAATATTGTCTTATTCCTGGAGATATGGATTTAAGCAGTATCTGCTAATTGTTTTTCTTAAATGAACGTATAAAAAACTTTACATTTCACTTAAATGTTTTAGTGAAATTCTTAAATATTTCATTCACAAAAAGTTTGCAGAGTCTATAGTGTAAGATCAAGGGTATACATGTAGTTCTAAATGCTTAGACAAGGTAACTATATAAATTATGTGTATACGTGTATGTAAGCCCTACCTGTACCGGATGTATGTTTCAGAATACAAACTTTAGATTTGAGATTATCATGTTTGGTTTATAAATACGTTGCTTGAAATACTTTATGCCGATCTGAAAGCTGGGGTATATCCTAGTCCAACTTATAGTATTACGCGACGAGATATTGTGCTATTTTGTGTACGGACAAGATCTACCTCCCCCCCCCCCCCCCCCTACATAATTTTAGAATCTATCTTTGGCACGTCAATAATTTGACTATGCAGTCCTACGCATTTATCCCTCAGACCTGATGAATTTAAGTAAGCCCTTTTCAGCTTGTAAATCACTTTAAACTGTTTATCTCCCATTATACCTTTATAAGAGATAATCATCTTTATGTTCATAAATATAGTTACATAGTTAGGTGTCACTGGTACTCATTTTTAAAGTCATTACCAATTCGAAAATAACTATGATTTGACAATAATCAGTTGTGAAAATAGTGTAGATACTTTTTGCTTTGTGAATGGGGCCCTATTTCGGCCCCAGCCTGTGTAAAAAAATACAAGAACTGTCGTTCGAATTAAGGAACCAAGACCTTGACTGGCATCAAAGGTATCGTTACTATAAGAAAGTGTGTTTCAATAA